TGTACTATGATTGAGTTAGGAGAAAATGCTTGGGTATTATGAATCCTTTGGTAGTGAATGGCAGGAAATAAAATATTCCAATACAATTAATACCAAACATTTATATATTTTTATTTCAATACAGATTTGTATTTAAGGGGCTTAAAGTACATTAGAGTGCAATTTAAAAAATCCACTTTGCCTGCTTTACTGGATGCGCTTTTCTTTTGGTTTTTGAAATTTCTTATTCACTTGATTCAATTTAATGTTATCAGCAGAAGGCCGATATAGCAGAGTGGTTAGAGTGCTGAAGAAGTAAAGTGAAAATCATAGGATCAAATCCTGGCCCCTACTTCCGAGTACAAAGTTAGACCATAACCCCCTTAATTAGATAAGCCTCACAAGTTCAAAATATACTTGTAAAAACAAGGTACTAAAAATACACAAGAAGTATTTTTCTTATTTATACAAAAAAAAATTATAACAACAAATCAATTAATATATAACAAATCTAAACATCAATGCTAAGGAAAGACAGAAAATATTAATTTTAAAAAATTATAGAAGGAAGTTAGTCGACTGTTCTATATATCATGGGTGATAAATATTCAGGATGCAGTCATGCCCCTATGTGGGTCATCATCAAGTACTTGAATACCTTCAGTGCTCGAAACATACACTGATGATGACCAACATGTTTGAGTTAATAAAATCTTTATAATGACTGCGTTCTGAATATTTATCACCCATAAAAAAATTATAGATTATATTAAAACAAAATGTTAGCATTCCCTATTAACTGGCACAAACCCCCAGGGATGTGTATCATATTTTCTAACCTATATCACTTAAAAAATTTGTATATCTATTATTATTTGCATCCTTACCAATTAATTTACCTTTATTATTTATTCTTTCCTTTTTGAAATTTATTTATTTCTGTGTAGTTTTGTTTTGTACTACACACATACCTTATTTATTATATATTCAATTTTATCTCTGATGATGGCCCTCAAACGGGTTGAAATGAAGTTGGCATTCATACATTTTCTTATCATATTATTTATCTTTGTTACAATATTACTACCAGGGATTCTCAAACTGGGTGACATGGCTCCATGGGGTGGATGAAGTGTATGCTAGGGGTGCCACAGCAATAATATTTAATTTTGGTATTTGATATTTAAGGTCAAAACTCAATTTGACCTTCATAAATAATTAAATAATCCTTTCAATTCATAAATAATAGAATTAAATTTATAATTCAATGTAATATCTAGGCAAAATTGTACTATGTCTATAAATATTGCACAAAAATCAGTGAAGATTCTACTTTAACAACACTTTTAGAATGACTGTATTATGATTTTTTTAAAGCCCGACTAGGGTACCCCAAAAATTGTTTAGCCACAGCAAAAAAAGTTTGAGAAAGGCTGCTGTAGCTATCCGCCAGTGGATGGCAAAAAAGGCCCTAAGGCACTGTTTCTCCCATCCATACCAGTAAAGAGCAAAGTAAATCTCCTAAAACCAAAACATTGGCAATGATTAAAGGACGTTAAAAAAGCAATGTTGATGTCATTTGGCAAAAAATTTGCTTTTATTACTTTATTTAATGCTTCAAAAAATTAAAACGGTCATCATTGGCAGATAGTAAAGACCAGAAGGAGAAAAAAACATGTAGAGAGTAAGAACCATCCGTATTGTCTTTGTATTGTCGGTCATGACAAAGGAGGGGTCATCATAAATGGACACAATAATTTTTTTTAATTTAATTAATTTCATAAAATTATAAAACTCAAAAAAGGGTGAGCTGTTAAATAAGATATGTTTTCAAAAGTTTTGTTTTTTTATTAGGTAGCATCATCAAACAAATTACTTCCTTCAATCAATCAAATGAAAATGTTTATTTTGATTATGATTTTCTCTAAGGGTATAATTTGTAATTTAAATGTTAAAGAACAAATGAACCATTAATAATTATCTCTTATAAATAAACAAATTGGAAAAATAAAAAAATAAATTAAATAAGTTTAATAAACCTGGTACACAATGATGAGATATGGAAAATGCTTAGTGCATACCATTGCACACAATAAGCAGGCATAAAATATATAATATATCTTATCAAATTTATATATATATATATATATATATATATATATATATATATATATATATATATATATATATATATATATATATATATATAAATGTATATATTACTAATATAAAAAGGTATAAAAGTTCTATTTTCCAACATCTGGCTGGCTACAATATTATAAACATTTTATTTATCTTGAACTTCAAATTTCAAAATAGTTGTTATACTCAGTAAGATTTTTGAAATGACAATATAGTCAAAGTAGGCTTCATTTAACATAAGATCCTGAACATAATATACAATTAGAAATGAAAGAAATAATTCAGAAACTATTAAATGCTTGCCAGTAAAGATAATACAATCCATAATACAGAATTACAGTAAATTAATAACTTTAGAATATAAAAATTTATATTCTAAAATCATTAATTAATTCAACTATTAATAATTAATTTTCAATACATTTTTATATTTAATATTTTTTAAAATAGATATCTAATATAATTTAATTTAAAGTTTTGTTTCTAATAATTCAAAATCTTTCTTTAAATTAAACATATGTATTTTTAACTTTGATTAATATTCAAGTAACTACGGATACTTTAATAAATATTACATTCTCTATAAAATTCACACCAGATCAAAATAATTTTGTCTCTCTTACATTCATTATATAAATAAACTTACTAGCTAAAATAAAAAATAAATAAAGATCTATTATTGATGGTTATTCAAACAAGTTTTGCTTTTGTTTTTTGTTTAATTTTACAGACATTTATACACATTGAAAGAGTTTCAAATTAAAAACTTCTTGTTTTTTTGTTTCCCATTTACAATTAATTTATAAATAAATATTACACATTTATACATTTAGTTTCAGTAAGAATAAAGCCACTTTACAAAAATGGCCTTCCTTTTTTTTTTTTTTTTTTTTTTTTTTTTACAATGATAATAATAATACAAAATGCATATTTACAATAATACATTAATATTTTCTACAAAATCCAATCTTTAAAAATATACATGAATCAGCAACTGATAAACTAACTCGACAATACTTCATCCATAAATAATGTTAATCACGTACACAAACATAGAGGGTTAATTACAAATATACAAAACATATTGCAGCTTTAAACAGTTATAACGATTTCAAATCATTAAATGAAAAATGAAAACCAATAATAAGAAGGGAAAAATAATGGAAATTAATCATTGCTTAAATCCTGAATTCATTGGTAACAGCTATAGATAATAGAAAAAAAATATTAACACCTATAAAAGTTAATATTAAGCCATTTTAATAATCATACATTAGTTTGAATCTTTAAGTTAAAAAATTGAAATAATTACAAGAACCTAAATATTCTGAAAGTGATAAAATATTATTCATACTGATAAAGTAATATTCCACTATTTCTTTATTTTCTATTTCAGAATTGCAATATATGCCACTCACTTTTTCTTTTGAATTAAAAAGTATATTTTTTATAATTAAATTTGAATAATTTTAATTTTTGTAAAAAATGTTTTAAAAAAGAAAAGCAAGTCTTAAAAACTAGTTTTATTTCTAAAGGAAATGTATTGAACTAGGACCTGTACAAAAAAAATTAAGATGATCGTATTTACTTTGTATTACAAAATAAGGAATAGTAAATATAAACTACAGTAGAATTAAAAATAAATAAATAAGATGATCGTGTTCACTTTGTATCACAAAACAAGGAATAGTAAATATAAACTTCAGTTGAATTTTTTTAGTCAAAGTTCAAGTAATACTGTAAGGCACTATTAATTTATTAAATTTTGAAAGGAATCTTTACAGATGGTTATAATATAAAATCTGAGATATTTTAAGTTTAATTTAATTTTAAAATGTTAGTTTATTGAGAATTATTAAATTTAAAAACAATTATTTTTTCAAATGCTATTTTTTAAAAATGTATCTATTTTTTTTATAAAAGTAAGAAATAAGTATTTAAGAAAAACCTAAGATAGTTGTCATATCTATCCAATAATGGAAAAAATAAAATAAAATAGAGGAATATAACTTATAATCATTAAGAATTACTGACTATATATATTTTTTTGTTCATTTATTTTACCCATAGTAAAAAACAAAAAAAACAAAACAAAAATAAACAGAGCATATAAACCTGATTAATACATATGTGTTAATCTAAAAGTCCAGAGAAATAAACAAAATTAAATGAGATTTAATTATTTTACAATAGTTGATAAAACTCTTGGTTAGATTATCTTAAATTAATATTTTAAAACTGGTCCATTCGAAAGAAATATTTAAAAATAACAAAAATGTGTGATATCAAACAAAAACTGATACTAAAATTGTTCAAAATATAATTTACCATTAAAAAATCATTCCCTTCATAAAATAAAATGGGTAAATATAAGCATGAGCATGAATAAATATAATAATTATAATTAAAGGGGTTATCATGAATGAGGAAGATGGAAAAAAAAAATATAAATACATGTTTATAATATTCGAATTGTATCACCAATGTATGTAATATTTTACAAATACATTATTTAATTTAAGTGAACACACCAGATCAGTAATGGCTTCATATACATGTAGCATTAAAGTGTTACTATGAATAAGTGTATTGACAAAATTTATAGTCTTTGATGTAAATTAACAGCAAATATGAATGTGTGTAGTTATATATAAATATATATAGAAGTTTTTGTTTTCACTTTTGCTCTTAATGGTGATCCTATGAAGATATGGTTTAACCTCTGTGCAGTGAATAAGCTTCATTCCAAAAGGGAATAATTACCTCCAAATGTGTGTGTTAATATATACATACACCCAAAATGTAAGTGTGTGTTGGTGCTAATTAACACAGAGGTATTTACTAAAGTAGCTAGAGAACAATAAAACATCTAACACATTTTATGAACTACCTTCATCTAAGTGTTCAGCTGTCCCCATTATTTGAGACAGAGTAGGATAAAATGCCAGTGTGACTGCCAATACTAGCATAATGCATGGCAGGGCAAATATCAAGTTCTGAAAATTAAAAAATTAGTAAGACATTAATACACAATAATAAACAATAATCATCCATTAATGAACAAAAACAACCAAAAAAAATCTTATGTTTCCTTCAAAACATTAATCTTTTACTATTAGTAAGATATAACCACTAATCTTAGTTTAATGATTTTAATAAAAATCAAACTGTAACAAATCAGTTTGAAGAGGACACACTGTATCAACTAAGTTAATTGGGTTACTGTAGTTTTCTATTATCTTAAATAATAATGAACAGTTTTCCTTTATACAGCCCAGTAACCGAACAGAGGAGGGGTAAGAGGGGGAGGGGGAGAGGGAGAGAGAGAGTGAGAGAGAGGGGGTGGAGAGCGAGAGAGATTTATACCTATGTGTTTACTTTAAAAAAAAAATCAAACATTTATTTCCAATTGGGGATAATGACCTGTAAAGTGTTAAGAATTAATTTTAAAACTAAATCCACAAAATTTATTTAGAGTGGTTGGTAACCTATAATGAATATAAAAATATATATATTAGCAACTCCAGATATAAACTGGTAACTGGTGTCAGGCACCTGTTATCTACCTATGGATACAAACAACCAAGACCAACAACTGGACCAGAATAGTGACACTACCACCAGTACGGAGGTAAGTCAAGTTGTTAATACTAATCCCGAACTGATGCAGTTAGAGTGGCTAAGGTTTAGAACAGCTACTGCCACTTGTCTAAATAATGCAATATCAGAGCTGGAATGGTTTGGGGAAGAACTTGGTCACTTCAACCATTTTCTAAAACGAGGGAATCAAATAAAGTCTGATTGAGGCTAGAACCTCTGCAGGATGGGTGGATTTATTCAATGCTACGAAACTTAGGTTATCTCTGGTTGGAAGAGTAAGGAGAAACTGAGTTAACGGACATATTTTACAAAAAGGGATGCCCATTACCCACGAACGGGAAAACAGCACGTGAGATAATACTTAAAGAGAACAAAGTTTCATATACAAAAGGACGTAGATATCAGGGATCTATGACGGCAATAATAAATGACCAAATACGCGATCTCCTTCGTCAAGGGATCATACAGCATAGTACATCCCCGTTTAGTAGTCCATTGTGGATCGTAGAGAAAAAGAGACAAAATCAGCAAGGTGATCCATCGTATCGTTTAGTAATCGATTATAGGAAACTTAACACCACTGTGGAAGAACGGTATCTGCTTACTAGACTCCAACGCACGTTGGATGGTTTAGTAGGAGCCCATGTTTTTTCTATACTCGATCTAAAATCTGGTTACCACCAGGTGAGAATGCGAGAGGAGGATTTTCAAAAACCAGCGTTCATGTTATGAATTCATGAGAATGCCGTTCACAGTTTCAAAAATGTGCTACTCACCTTTCAAAGTTTAATGGATGAATTTCTCCGTGGGTTAGCGGAAGATTACTGTCAGATTTATATGGAGGATCTTATCGTATTTAGCTCATCCCCCTCGAGCCATATAGATCACCTCACATTGGTATTTGGGTGCATTCAGGTATTGGGATTGAAATTGTCAAAAGAGAAATTCCATTTCTTTCAAGCGGAAATAAAATTTTTAGGGCATCTCATCTCTGAACAAGGGGTCAAACTAGATCCAACCAGGGTCGAGGCCATCGTATCGTCTGGGTACAGCTCCCAACTAATCAGAAGGAACTTAAGAGTTTCATGGGCATGATAAACTACTATCGTAAGTTTCTACCCAATGTGGCTGATATAATTTCACCGCTCACTCAGCTCTTGAAGAGAGGTAGACCTTTACTGAAGAGCATTTAAATAGTTTTTATAAGAGTAAGGAAGGTCTTAGTGCGGAGCCAGTTTTGGCATTCCCAGATTTATCGCAGGAATCGAGTACAGAGGATAGACCTGTGGCCTTTGCCAGTAGACAATTGTCTGAAGCCAGCTGAGGTACAGTGCACTGGAGCGAGAACTTCTACCAATTGTCTGGGCAGTTGATCATTTTCGTCCCTACGTGTTCGGAAGAAAGTTTACACTCCGTACTGATCATAAGCCTTTATTGTGGATGAATGGGCTCAAAGAATCTTCGGCTAGAGTTGGGCGATGGAAAGAGAAACTACAAAGATATAACTTCCAAATTTTGTATCAAAAAGGCTCCCAAAATGTTGTCGCAGATAGGCTGTCTCGGGCACTGCATTCAAATCCACTCCATGAAGCAGGCCCATCTACGGATGTTGCTAGAGAGGGAATGTCCCACAGTGATGAGGACGAAGGTTCGGCAAAAACTAGACATCATGATTTTAGGGAAACGGAAACTATTGTAAGCCACCACTCATGGCAGATTATCTGGAAAACGCGTATGGAGGGCATAACACAAACAGAAGCTTGGAGTTAAATATAAAATGACATTTCAATTCCCCGGATAACCCCCAAGGACGTGGGGCTATTGAACGCCTCTATAACCCCTTAGGGGAACATCTTCGATTGTTCCAATTGCATAGAGGACTAGGAGCTAACACGGCAATGCCTCGAGCCGTACTGGCATACAACAATACCATCCATTCTGCTACAGATTTTACACCAGTGGAAGTAGTATTCTATCATCCACTATGGATTCAGAGAGATTTAATAACGACTATGTACACACATCTATGCTATGATATGCAGTAATTCACAAACGTAAACAACTCACCACTATATCCAAGTGAGGGCACAATAAACTTTTTCGAGACAAAATTTCTAGAGCAAACACCATCTCTGCTTGGCCGGACCAGAAAAATCCAAGATTTCATTAGACATGACTGTATACTGCCAACCACCGTCCACTAGTCGAAAAGGGAATCAATGATACAAAGGGCCATTCAAAGTGGCTGCGCTCCGAGAACATAACATTGTGTCTATTCAAGAGCTCAGAGAGTGAGGCATATATATATACGGCATCTTCACATCCCTCTTAACCCAGGTATAGAATATCGCCACAAGGGGCGATCGGCAGTAACTGGATTATAAAAAAAACAATTTTCTTTTTCTTTTCAGTCTAATTAGTTTATTACTTTGTTCAAGCTTTAGTATTTATGTTAATTATAGGTCATTGATTTCTTGTTTTGTAAATCTTTTAAGATAATCTTTATATGTTTTATAATTTTTGTAACCTTTATTTTTTAGATAAGAACCTATTATTACTTATTTTTATATAATTTTTCTTTTAGCTTTAAGGTCTTATTACCTTTTGTATTCAGTTCTGTTTTAAGTTTTGTACCAAAGAACACGAAGGTCACTTCGTGAGCTGGGGTGGGGAGTAGCATCGTTTTTCAAAAACTAAAGTTCGTAAATAAAGTTAGAACTGTTCAAGCAGTCATGGTGTTCACTTCATTACCTTTTATTTTATTTTTAATCCCTATATCACTAAATAATTTAACTTATATATATATATATATATATATATATATATATATATATATATATATATTTTTTTTTTTTTCGCTTCGCTACAGACCATGAAGATCTTTGGACGCAAGATGTGGTCTCCTTACTGACGTAGGTTGCTTGCGGGAGCTCAGATAGCCTGGAGGGAGTCACCCAACCTCATGTTGCTACGAACCATGGTCCCCATGGTGCAGCGGCAGGTCACCCGTAGCTCCATAGCCGATCCCTTTGGGGCCAATCTGCCAGAGTCCTTCCCACCGACTCACTCGGGTTCAAGGACAGTGACAAAACGGTCTAGATCCATGGATTATGACTGCTCAGAGTCAGCAGGCGCACGAGGACCAATATTTCTTTCCCCGAAAAAGACCGTCCAAGGACCGAACCTCAGGAGGACTACTAACATCCTGGTAGACAACATCCCGATTCCCGATTAAGTACACGGGGTAGGGTCATGAGTCCTACGTGAGAGGAAACTAGGAGTTGAGGTAAGAGATGGTGGAAGCGATTGAATAGTTTGAGAGTAGAAATTATTCATTGGGGGATTTGAGAAATATAGTGAAGGAGTGGGTTTGATCAATGAAATACCCTAAATTTTTAACAGAGAAGTATAAGGTGATTGGAAGGTTATTAAGGTGTAGTATGGAAAAGTTGGGAGGGGGTCTAAGAACTGGCTTGGGACCAATAATAATGGCTTGAGTTTTAGCAGCATTTAACCTTAATCAGTTTAAATTTGCCCAGGCACTGATTCTATCTAGGTCATCTTAAATCTTGGCAAATGCTACCAATAACCAAGGAAGAGAAAATGATAGATACATCTGAGAATTGTCTGCATAAAGGTAGTGGAAACGATGGAGAATTGAACCATATAGATTGTTAATGTAGCAGCTGAAAAGGAGAAGAGATAAGCTTGAATCCTGGGCAACTCCAGAGGATAAATAAAGGTAGACAGATAGTGGTTGATTGGGTATGGAAACTTCCTCAGTATATTGTGAGAGGGAAGATTGAAACCAGGGATGAAACTATCGGAGAAGGATAATGATTTTAGTTTGTTGATGGAATGGTTAATGGAATTGAAGGCTTTGGAGAAGTCAAGAAGTATAAGGACAGTTAATTTTTTATCATATATCGCAGTTTGACTGTCACTGGTAGTTTTAATTAAGCTGGATTGTGTGGAATAGCCGGGATTGAAACCAGATTGGAGAGGATCTAGTTGGTTGGGATCTTATGAAGAGGATGGATTAAACTTTTTAAACTTAAGGAAGGATAGTTGCTTTTTTTCAAGAGGTAGAGAATACTGAAATATATATTCATACAGGATATCCCATTTATGCAGGTCTCAGTTGAAATATGTTGGAAACCATTAGAGATATTGCAAAATTAAGGTTAAACATTTATTATGTTTAAAGTCACACTTATCCTTTTATTAACTGGGACGAAGTTTATTACTGACTTCCTTGCGGCCGGGCTAACTATAAATCTAGTGCCAGATGTCCAATTTTTGTCATTTCTCCTGGTGTAGAACAGTGTATGGCCGTCTATAGTGGTTTCATCACCATCTGGCCACCTTACCTCTTGTATGGCTGTAACGGTCCCCAGGTTCCGATATTCGTCTTGATTTTGGCCAGGATTGTTTCAAATTTTGCCTATCTTATGAAGTCTCTAAAATGGTAATTTTTAAAAATATTTGAATGGGAGTTGGATAGATATAGACATAAATAATCATTATATCTGATATATAGCTATCAGACGCCAGGGAGCTAACGTTTTAACTACTGTTTTGGTGGCCCCTGGTCAGTATAAGCTCTGAACATTCCATGATTCGAGTCCATTATACAAAGCCGGGGTCGTTGCCATATTATTTAAGATTTTCCAAGACTGTTTTTTTTTTTCATAATATGGTGTTTTTTATAGGGTTATTAGCCCCATGCCCAACCCCCAACCTAAAGGACCAGCAACTATCCTTCCTTAAGTTTAAAAAGTTTAATCCATCCTCTTCCGAAGATTCCAACCACACTGATCCTCTCCAATCTGGTTTCTATCCCGGCTATTCCACACAATCCAGCTTAATAAAAACTACCAGTGATATTCAAACTGCAATAGATGATAAAAAAATAACTGTCCTTATACTTCTTGATTTCTCCAAAGCCTTCAATTCCATTAACCATTCCATCAACAAACTAAAATCATTACCCTTCTCCAATAGTTTCATCTCTTGGTTCCAATCTTTTCTTTTCCAATCTTTTACTGAGGAAGTTTCCGTACCCAATCAACCACAATCTGTCTATCTTTACTTTATTTATCCTCTGGAGTTGCCCAGGGTTCAAGTTTATCTCTTCTCCTTTTCAGCTGCTACATTAACAATCTATATGGTTCAATTCTCCATTGTTTCCACTACCTTTATGCAGACAATTCTCAGATGTATCTACCATTTTTTCTTCCGTGGTTATTGGTAGCATATGCCAAGATTCAAGATGACCTAGATAGAATCAGTGCCTGGGCAAATTTAAACTGATTAAGGTTAAATGCTGTTAAAACTCAAGACATTATTATTGGTCCCAAGCCAGTTCTTAGACCCCCTCCCAACTTTTCCATACTACACCTTAATAACCATCCAATCACCTTATACTCCTCTGTAAAAAAATTAGGGTATTTCATTGATCAAACCCACTCCTTAAATCACTATATTTCTCAAATCCCCCAATGGATAATTTCTACCCTCAAACTATTCAATCGCTTCTGCCATCTCCTATTCAAGTCCATTACCTTTCCACAAGATCTTGATCTTCTGAGTGCCTTTTTCATCACTAAACCTAAACACATCTTTAATGTATAATAGTGATAAACCAATGAGCTGTTCAATATTTGTTTCTAATGATATTTATCTATAATTTTCCATCACCATAAAATGAATTATTGTTCTCTGTAAATAAAAAATATATTAAAGGCTTCCAAGTACTGTGCCAAACCATTGTATAGCATGCTTAAGGAAGAAGTCTTCTCTAATGAAATTATTGTAAACAAAAATTAACATTAAACTTCAACAATCAATAATGAGGAAATGTGTGTTTCATAAAAAATATTTTATATTAAAATAACAACTTACAAAGTAAGGTTGGTGAGAGATTGCTTGGTAATCTAGTTTCAAATTTGCTAATTCACGAGCGATCTTTGTCTTTTCTTCATTACACTGCATGTATTTACTCCCAACAATCACTAATTCTTCCTCAAGCCTTGATATCTGAAATATTGGCAAGCATATAATAGTAAAAATAGAATAAATAAGTAAATTGGCAACTTGGATATAGATAGATTGTCTTATAGTATATGTTTGATCATTTAAATCAATAATTATAAATTTTTCCCAGTCTTTTAAAAAATTTGTGAATTGATTCACAAGACTACTTAGAAATAAGTGGTGTCAGGTGCGATGAATTGTAAGGGCTAAATTAAAAATATATTTAAAGATTTCATATAAATAAACAGAAAAGAGTAGAATAATAGAACAGCAGATGTCAAGTAACCCTGGATCAATATACCTGGACAACCTTGGTGACCTCCATGGTCTTGCCATCCAGGCCCAAACTAGCCTAACGGACCCGACTCCGGCACAACCCCATACACTACACAGAGGAGGGATCAAACAAGCTGACACAAAAACAATATCGAGAAATATGAAAAGGCCGTACATTCTTAAGGCGCGGTCACTCCCTCTGCTATAAAAACTTTTGGCAATGGGAAAAAACTTGGAAAAGGAAGTCGAAAATAAAGGTCTGGGACAAGGGTCAGCTAGAAAGAGCAGTCAGCTTGGAGTCAAGAAGAGGGACAGTCAGTCTGGGAGTCAGTTTTGGAGATCGGAGAGGTCCAGAGGAGAGACAACCCAAGATACCGGAGACACCCTGCACTCTGAAGAAACAACAGATAAGTCATAATAACCATTCAGATAGTACCTGTAATCTTGTGTTGACGAATGGTAATTTAATAGTTCTTCAATCACTCTTATTAAAACTAGTATTCTCCTCCTATGATTCTCCAATAATAATTGTACAGATGTATTTTTTGTTGTTTAAAATTATAAGTAGATTACTTTTTGAGGAAATCCTTATTCTTTGACAATATATCCCTGCATTCCACCATTTAATCATAGGTACAAATAGTGAATTAATAAACATGATACCTCTGGAAAAGAAGTCCAATAGAAATTAAATTTTGTCATTAAAAATTCAATCTAGAATACTACAGTAGAGGGTCTATGGTTTCTAGCCTTTAAATACATCATTCATATATTCTTAAGTACATTACTTCCCTTCTGGAACCGATAGAAATGCGGATATAAATGTCAAATACATTCAATAGAAATAATTGCGGTTCCTGGAACCCCCTATCCGTTGTAGAAATGCGGTGAGCAAGTAACACAACACAGGGAAAATGAAGAGGGGTGCGTATGTTCCCTAACTTAATAAAGTTTGTTAAAAATTATTGAAAGATATGGGAGGGAGATCCTCCTCACCATAACCGGAGAAATCTGGGATGAGAGTACTAACATATGGAGGAGATGGACCAATAAAGAATTGCTAATAGATGGTCAATTAATATCCCATATTATGAAGAAGAGGTTAACCCCCCCAAACTTTAAATTGCCATACTCTGGAAGACTAAAATACTTTTCAGAAATAAGCTAAACAATCAAGAAAACAAAAGAATAAATAAATTCAAGGTAACCTTGGAGAATCTATTTTATATTGTAACATAAAGTATAAAGTTAACATTCACATCGCTAAAAACTCAAAAAAGGATCAATATTTTTCGATTGAAAATACATTAAGTTTATATCTATTAGATATTATTCTATTAAATATCTATCTATAAATATATATATATATTTGGAATTTAAAATACATACATAATAAAGCAAAAAATATTTTTTTACTTAAAATGATAATAAAACCTATATTGGGGGCCATTTATGTGACCACTCACTCACAACAATCGAAGCAAACTATTGCCCTGTGTTCATTGCAGATAAGTCTCTTGCACTGCAGACAAACCAGTTTTGTCTTCATATATTTATCTCTCTCTTGCAAAACAAATATTTGGCTTGTTTTTCCAACAGTAGTCGTTTATTTTTTATTTCCCAAAATTTTGTTTATGTTGTAACACACCGTTCGTTTGAGTGTTTACACTTACAGTCTTCTTTTCAAACAGGGCTCAAGTAACAAATAGCCTAATCCAAATAAATTAATTCTCCATTTCATCTTCTTTGTCCAGTTAACTAAGCTGAACAATATCATGCCGTTTATACCAGCATGGTTCAACATTCCAAAGAAAAATCAGAGTAACAGCCTCCTTTTTTTTTTCTTGCTGTTAACACACATAACACGTTTGACCAAAAGTTACGGTGCCATCTTTATTTAATATGCTCCATGCATCTTTTCTTCATCTTCTAACTACCATAACAATTTATGGATTTCTTCAGGAGAAGAATACATTTTTTGGTAGTTGCCATACTAAAAAAATAGTTTCTATACATTACTGTCTGAATTGAAAATATCACCAATTCACAAATATAGCATTAGCAATCCACTGAACAGTTACATAGACAGCACACTGGGGTGTAACTGTAACAATAAAGTGTAAATGACTGTAATTAACCTGGCTATGTATGATGTTTATTTACATGAAAAAACTTGGCCAAAGAGCTACTTATATAAAAGTAAATTAATATTGAAAATGTCGTGGGGTGTGTCGCTCTAGGGTTAAGATAGGTAACTCTTTTTTTATCTTTCCATTTTACGAAAAAGTCATGAGGAAGAAAGTTGAATATAAGGTTGAAGATAAGATAGTAAAGTAATACATATTCTTAAAGAAAATTTAATATTAAACAACTTTCTTCTTCATGACGTTTTTGTAAAATGAAAAGATAAAGAGTTGGCGAGTCAAATAATGATAAAAACGCAATGCAAACATTTTTTTTTTTCAACATTACTAAATTACGAGGACGGATAACACGGAAACTATAGAATATAGCGAAAAAAATAATATGACTTCTGACATTTCTATTGCAAATTTTACCAGCTTTAATTTCACATATGACATTATTGTAGATAGAACAAATAGTTTCGCTAATATAAGCGAAAATGGTAAACTTTTTGAATCGTAAATTCAATTTTTCGACTTGAAATCCAGGGGTATGGGGTAACCGACTGTTATTTCATGTCTTAAGACTTTATATACTATAAAGTAAAAGGGTTGGTAGCTTTATATATCTATGAGCCCTCTCTATATATACGCTGTAGGGTCTCTATCTATCTTCATATAGCCGCCATTTTGTATTCCAGAGGCTATATGCTGGCAGACATGCATTTTTCTCATCAGGCCTGTGGATAAGATCAATTTATAAAGACAAAGCTTAGTATGAAATATGACACATTTTTTGCAAATGGGCTTTCTATTATTGTTATATGGCAGATAAAGCAACAAATTTGATATGAATGTACCTTGGGGTACATCAATTAATGTTAGGCTAGGAAACTTCTGCAATTTTCATGTATGAAACTAAAATGTTGATTGTTAGACTGCAGTTACGCATAAATCTTTGACACTTGGAATCCTCAGAATAGATCCACTTTTCATCACTGTCACAATTTGATGGAGAAATGATTTTCTTTTGAACCTGGCAAGCAGTATTTTTGAGGTGATTTTCTGGATCTTTCCTATCGTTTTCAAACATATGGAGACAGCTTCTGCTGTTACATTCAATTGTTGAATTTGAGCATCATTCTCATCTAATAATGCTTGCAATTTACTGTCTACAAACTTTTTTAATGGTCACCCACATTCTTCATTTCTCATCTCAAAATCACCACATTTGAATTTTTAAAACTATTCAAACCATTACCAACAGCATACCATAAGCTTTGATAAGCATTCAATGCAATTATTCAGCTGTTTTCTTAAATAAATGATAACAGAAAACTAATATTGTTCACAAATCGTAGTTTCTAGACACAAAACTCAACTTGTTCAACACTACTAAAATAATGCAATTGTATGAAACTTGTTTTGTTGTGAGTTGAAAAACTTTGATAGTTGTTGAAGAAACAAAACAGTGCCCATAATACAGTTCAGTAGTAACTACATTAACAACAGATCCATCTATGGATGAATTCCAGTATGTACAGGAATTCATATATACACACCTAGTAATTTAAAAATAGTTTCTTTTATTTGTGCCTATAATAATTTTAATTTATTTGACATCAGACTAAAAATAATCTCATTATTTACTGTGGAGTAATAAAATTAAAAAAAAAAAAAAAAACTCTTATTAATCTCAAAATAAAAATCAAATGCTATAGTTTGCCTAAAATATTGAGTAGTGAGTTAGGAGTGTTTTGGATGAGTCCTTTGGATAGCCAGGCCTGGATTTATGTACATAGTGGAGCTTTATATTCATCTGGCAGCCGATGATGGCAGAGACTGACAGTATCAAGATGGACTGACGGCAAGAAGACAAAAGGCATAGTGGGAGGCACTATCTACTAGGTCTTAATCCATTAAAATATAAACATTGGGTGTATAACTACAATTAATAAACTGTCTCCCAATTAATTAAATAAATACAGACCATGAAGATCGATCTTTGGCCCAACGTGTGGTATCCTTACAGACGTATGTTGCTTGCGGGAGCTCAGATAGACTGGGGGGGGTCACCCAACCTAACGTTGCTACGCTCCAAGGTCTCCATAATGCAGCGGTAGACCACCCGTAGCTCCATAGCTGAAGCTCGGGTTCAAGGACAGTGACAAATCGGTCTAGATCCATGGATTATGGCTGCTCAGATTCAGCAGGTGCATGAGCACCTATATTTCTTTCCCTGAAACAGACCGTCCATGGACCGAACCTCAGGGGGGCTACTAACATCCTGGTTAACCACATCCCGATTCCAGAAGTACACGGTGTAGGGTCATCAGTCCTATGTCCGATCTGTGTGATTGGCCTCCAGTAGGTTGATGGGCCTCACATACCCGGGGAGAAGGAGAGATTCGGGCAGCATGGCTTTCCCTGGTGGGCGGTCACCCATCCAAGTACTAAGCACACTCGATGTTGCTTAACTTTGATTACCTATTGCAAGCGTATATATATATTTATATTCTAGTTTATGGTAATTAAATTGGATCTAGTTTTTTAAAATTAACTTGTCGGTATATTAAATATGAGTCCTTTGTTAATTTGAGGGGGAGGAGAGGAGGGGACATCATATATTAACATACCACCAATTCTCAGTTTGCACAATCACGCATCAAGTTTTTATAACTTTTCGGATTTAACTGATATTAGGATCGACTACGATGTTGGAGGCTCTTTTTATATACATACCGTTGGATTTCAGATTGTGCAATTAAACATTAAGTCGTTTGTAACGTTTTGGATTTAATCGATTTTACGGTCCATTATTATGTTGTCAGGGTCTTTTATAATTAAAATACTGGCGGATTTCAAATTGCGCAATTGCGCATCTAGTTTTTGTAACTTTTCGGCTTTAACCGATATTAGGTTCCATTATTATCTTGAAAGGGGCTTTAATAAAAATACTGCCAGATTTCAGATTGTGCATCTAGTTTTTGTGACTTTTCAGATTTAATCGATATTAGGACCCATTACGGACATTGCTTAACTTTGATTACTTATTGCAAGCGCCCTAGCCCATACAGCAACCCCATATATATATATCAGGATGTTCAGCTACCGGAAAATTCCCGAAAACTGGGAATTGTACTGGAATTTCTCAAACGGGGAAAAAACAGGAAAGGTATGGGAATTTAAATAAAAAATAAGGATTTTTTTGCTCCTTTTGTGACAATATAAATAAGATATTTCTTTTCTAAATTTATACATTTTCTATTAGGTATTTGGAATTACAACTCAGCACATAGTATTTAGGGGTTAGCTACCATATCCTGGAATTAGAATATTTTTATCATTTTCTGTAAATTTGAAAAAAAAATTTTTAATTTTCATGTCCACTGGTTGCACTTACCCTATGCATCCGGAGTAAGTGCAACCTCACTCTAGGATCCTCCTTGAGAGGCAATATAAATGACAGTGGGGCAGGTGTGATATGGTTTGTTTTTCACTGCTTCTGCTTTTATTTTTTCATTTTAAATCATTTAGGAGATACAAACTTTATTGTGAGTCAACGAGGATATGATGAGAAAAATGGGTAAATTTTAAAAATCAGGTTTTTGTGTGATTTCTTGATTATATTTAGCAAAACTGAGAAAGATTTATTATGGGACAAGTGCAACCGGCAAGTTTGCACTTCCCGGTGTGCAAAAATGATAGGGGTAAGTGTAGCCACAGCTCTCTTTTTAAAAATTATTAACCCGCTATTAAAATAAGGTATATTTCTGAAAACTACAAATTTAACTTTTTAAAAATACAAAGTTAGGTTATCCTGGGTTGAAAGTCAAAAATACAAAAATATGCCAAATGCATAGGTATCATGGTTGAACTTTCATTGAGTGAGAAAATGTAAACATTTATAAAAAACAAAAAAACAATATATATAAGCTGGATTTTCTCGGGCCCCTTGGTCGACATTTAAACAAAATGTTCTAAAATTATAAACCAAGTGTTTTTTTTATTAAAAATAATCAACGGGGCCATACTTACCCCACTTCACTGTAGTTCAGTTTTTTTAAAAATTTATCATAACTTTCGTCATTGTCGCGGTTTCAGCATTTTCTCGGGTTTCACCATTTTTGCGATTTTTGCCATTTTCACCACTCATAGTAGCATTTTCGCAAGTTTTATAATTTCATCTAATTTTTTTCACATTTCTATTATTTTTGACTTGTGTTGTGACAAAAAATTGAGAAGAAACAAATTATTACCGTATAAAAATAGGAACAAATTCAGTAGTTTAAAAGTTTTTTAATCTTTTCATAATTTTCGCATTTTCTCGGTTTTCTACATTTTCGAAATTTTCGCGGTTTTCAACTTTTTTTCATGACTAGCATTTCTATATTTCCTATATTACCGCTATTACGAGGTTTTCGTCTTTTTCGTGATTTTCACCTTTTCTGTAATTTTCGCATTTTTTCTGTTTTCACCATTTTCATGACTTTTGCCATTATCACATTTTCTAGATTTCCGCCATTATAGTATTTTCTCAGTTTTCTCTATTTTCACCATTATCGCATTTTCTTGGTTTTCGGCATTATAAAAAAATAGGAATAAGTTCAGCAGTTTAAAATATTTACAGTTTTTATGATTTCAGCCAAAAAATAAAAAAAACGAATAAAATCAGTAGTAAAAAGATTTTTAAATTTTTCATAATTTTTGCGTAATAAAAAAATTGTATAATAATAAAAAAATTTACTATATAAAGAAAGGCTGTATTTTTCACCACATTTATTTTCATTTCTCTTCCACAGTGGCTACATTTCGGCTGATGACATTTTCAAGCCGTCTATAAGCCCCATACACAATCATATAATAGATACTATTAAATAGATTTAGCTAAAGAATTTAAAATAAGTGCATATTTTAACTGAGTGGAGTTTTTTTGTATAAAGTGTTTCAGACATGATAATAAAGGACCTCATTTTGATCAAATTCTTAAAGTTATAAAAACTAGATGCACAACTGCGCAATCTGAAATTCGGCAGTATTTTTATAATAAGAGCCCCTGATAGCATAATAATGGGCCCTAATATCAATTAAATCCGAAAAGTTTCAAACACTATATGCGCAATCTGAAATCCAATAGTATTTTAATAATAAGAGCCCCAACAATATAATAATGGACCCTAATATCGTTTTATGTACCTCTTTCGCAGACAATATCAAGAAAAATGTTGCTCCTCACTAAGGCATTCATATAGGACTGGATTTATTTTAAAAAGGAGTGGGGTGAAGGGGTTAGGGATCAGCTGTTTTATCTGTTATATATCAGTATATTATATTTTAATTTTATCTATTGAGCTAGCATTTTTATGCTATGGTATTTTTAGTATTTGTTATCTTTTATTTTATTTATTTATATGATATTTACAACTGTATACAAAAAATACATCTGGTAAATTCACACATGGATATAATGAAATGAAACACATGTTGAGAAACTACCCATTGGTAGCACTCTACTTTAAGTTATCTACATCTGTCTGCTGATTTACCGAATGTTTGAGGTTTTTAGTAATAAATATAGATTCAATTATTCTTCGTTTCCCAATATTCTGTTCCCTATGTAACACAGAAGCTGTACCGAAATCAAATTTATGTCCATTTTTTAAAGGACGAATCATATTGTAATGATAGATTTTAGAAATTTTATGAAGCGGTGCATGGTAGGTAGATGATATAAATTTAATTAAAAAAAATAAAATTCTTATAAAATAAAATTTGGACTATTTATATTACTGATAGTTGTTAAATAATATGTGTCTGATAAGGATGTATTTTGAACTGTAAAAACTGAATTAAAATTAGTTTGCAGGATCTTGAAAATGGCTCCTGAAGCCGAAACGTCGAATAAAGAATACAGGATGTAAAAACTGTGTACATTTGGTGACATTTGGCCTAATATATACAAAAAACTTATGAGAAAATGGCACCAATTCTGAATGATGTGACTAACAAATTATATATATATATATATTCTTGTTTATGCTAATGAAGTTGGATCTAGTTTTTTTTTTAAATTAACTTTTTGGTATATTAAATATGAATCCATTGTTATTTTGAGAGGGGAGGGGGCCTTCATATATTAATATACCACCAATTCTTGGTTTGCGCAATCACACATCAAGTTTTTGTAACTTTGGATTTAATTAATATTAGGATCGACTATTCTTTTTAGGGAGATTCTTTTTAATACATACTGTTGGATTTCAGATTGTGCAATTGCACATCACGACATTAGTAACTTTTCGGATTTAATCGATATTAGGGTCCATTATTATATTGTTGGGACTCTTATTATTAAAATACTATCAGATTTCAGATTGCGCATATAGTGTTTGAAACTTTTCGGATTTAATTGATATTAAGGTCCATTATTATGCTATCAGGGGCTCTTATTATAAAAATACTGCCGAATTTCAGATTGCGCAGTTGTGCATCTAGTTTTTATAACTTTAAGAATTTGATCGAAATGAGGTCCTTTATTATCATGTCTGAAACACTTTATACAAAAAAACTCCACTCAGTTAAAATATACACTTATTTTAAATTCTTTAGCTAAATCATTTTAATAGTATCTATTATATTATTCTATAATTCTATTAAAAATTTCGTTAGAAATAAATGAAAACATTGATCAAATTTTAGTTATTGAATCATTTATAATATACTTATCCTAACGAAAACATTGCACTGAAACCTGTGCAGTCCAGAGCCAAAGCTATAACTTTTTATTTTGAATTTTTTAATAGAATTATACTGTTAAATTCTAGCCTTAATTTATAATCAAGTGAAAAGATGTTTTTTTTAAAGATAATTAAGACTATTTAAGCATTGGAAGAATATATCTATACTAAATAGGATTAAAAAGATTTAGCTTGAAGAATTTAAAATAAATTTAGATTTTAACTGAGTGGAGTTTTTTATGTGTAAAGTGTCTTTGACATGATAATAAAGGACCTCATTTCGATCAAATTCGAAGTTACAAAAATTAGATTCACGATACATGATTTTTTTCACACAGAATAAAATAAAACTACTTTCATTTCACTACCTCTAATTTAAGCAAGATAAGCCTAATTAAAAAAATAAAAGCCTATTGCGTTTTATTTCAAGTAAAAATAAGAGATATTTACAACTTAAAACAATTGTTCAAGATGTTATTTTATTTTTTTTTAATAAAAACAAATAATCACTAAAAGAGGCTTGACTTTTATTTCAAGAAAATATAAGTCATAAATAAACAATTATTTTTTTTAACAAAATGCATAAATGTTACTAATTAATTTTAACTTTTATTTAAAAATCATAGGAAATTTTTAAAATAAAAAATAACTGTTATACTTTGATTTGACCCATAAAATAATTCTCAAATTCATTCCCTGATTTTTATAAAGTAGCTAGGACTTTATTTAAGAGCTAATGATGTTTTTTATGCAACAATAATACAACTTATAATGAATTATCAAGAATAAATTCCATTTTCTGCATTTGATTAAATTACCTTAAACAAGATATCTTCAAATTGTTTTTCTGACTTATTGTTAAGAAATTTCTTTTCTTTTTTATAACTATCTAATTTCTGCTGTAGTTGATGATTTTCTTCATCAATCATCAAACATTTCTCCTTCAAGCTGTAAAAAATAAAAACAAATCTACCATAATCATAAAACAAACAAATTAATTTTATTTTTCATAAATCAAAAGTTATCATGTACAGTAAGAATAAGAGAGCTTTAATAAAGTAAGATTTTAAATCCACAACTAGAAAATTATTTACATTAGACATAATCGATATAATAAAGACTCTGTCGGGGTAAGATAGATAAAAGTGCCCCAAATATAAATAGCTACCGACTAACACATATTTACAACCTCACAAGAAATTCCTATCACTCAAGTTTCAGACCTTTAGTGTCCTATCTTCCATAATTACCACTAGTAATGAAACACTATTATTTGTTCATCCTTTTTTTATATATTTTTAAAAAATAAATATTACCTCAAAAAAATTCCCTAATATTACATTACTTCTAGGACCTCATGAATTATCAACTATAATTTTTAGGTCACACTTCAACATTTGGAACATAGTGTTCAGTTACTGATTGCTGGGAAATACCCAAAAAATAGTATAAAAATTTTCATTTTGGTGTGTTTTTTTTTCAAAATGTTTTTAATTTATGTTGTTTATACAGGGTGTCCCATAAGTAGAGGGAAATTTTTATAGAAGCGATAGCAGACCTCAAGAGCTACAAGTTCATATAAACAAAGGGCCAATTTCCAACAGAAAAGTAGCAAAACCTAGTTTTTAGGTTCTTTAAGTGAGTCACGTTTTTGTTGAATCGAAAACAATAACTAAAGAAATATTTAATTTAAGTAGTTAATAATTGGTTTATTGTAAACTAAAAATTTACTTTAAACGAAAATAGAATTTATCATTTTTAAAACTATTTAAAGATGACTTTTTGGCGGCTAAACTAAGTTAAGTTCTGTTATTAGAAAAATCATAAATTATTCATGATTTATTTTCATCATCCAACTGTACTACAGATACCCCACTTTTATAAAAATTTATTATTTTTATCCTGTCAAGTAGGTACTTTTACCTGCTGTTTTCAGGAAAAATGACTACAATTAACTGTTACAAAAATTTTATTTCTTGTTTTTCCATGATCTGCGATGTATTTTAATAAATCCAAATGCCTAAACACATTTTATTCATAAAAAAAAAAAAATATATATATATATATATATATATATATATATATATATATATATTTTTTTTTTTTCAAATATTTTTCCGGTAAATTGGTTATAAACTGTGTTTTTCACCCAGATCTCTATTATAGGAATTAATCTGTATTTATAAATGACAAAATAAAAGTTTCTAGTCTTAAAATTTATGTTAAAAAAAAATCTGCTGATTGCTTCAATTATTTTAATGAAAACGTTGATATTAGGACTAGAAAAATTTAATTTGTCACTTATAAATACAGATCAATTCCTATAATAGATATCTGGGTGAAAAACACAGTTCATAACCAATTTACCAGAAAAATCAATATTTTTCAAATTAATTTTTTTAATATAAAATGTGTGTTTAGGCAATTGGGTTTATAATAATACATCCCAGATCATGGAAAAACAAGAAATAAAAGCTTTTCAACAGTTAATTGTAGGCATTTTTGCAGAAAACAGTGGTACTTGACATAATAAAAAACATAATCATATTGGAAGAAGGAGATGGTCCAGGGTGGCAGTCATAAATAGACTAAAATAGTGACAAAACAATATTATTAAAAGCCAATGTTTTGATCCGACTTTGCAGGTCTTCTTCAGGGCTAGAACGGACAAGATACGAAAGGATATAGAAAATTGTGAAAGTTACATTATATTTAAATAAAAATTATAAACAAGATGAATAAACTTATTGAAATTTTAAACAGTAAGTACATTGAAGCATTAAGAACAATACACTATATAAACAGAGTAAGCTAAGTGACAAGATCCTAACTGAAGTAAATAGATGATAACAATTGTTGTAGTATAATATATACTATAATATACGTAATTATGAATATATTCCTACAGATTTCAAGGAGCGGTTGGAAGAAAAGGAAAAATAATATGAAATAATGACATGAAGGGATGTGAAGAAAGAAAAGAAAAACAAAAAAATAATAAGTAAATAAAATAAAATAGTAGTAAAAGCAAAACAAAACCTGGAATATTACTGTACAATATTGGGGGCCCGGTACATGCTCTATGACCGGGAGCCATTTTTTTTTATAAAAAAGATGAAGAGTTTGATGGAGGAATATCTGTGAATGATGTCACTGCTTATTTTGTTAATTTACCTTTATTTGTTTTCCAATTAAGGTCCCTGAAGGAGCAAATAATTTTAGTAGGTTAATCGAGAATGATAATTTTTACATATAATTTGATGAGGGGCCAGTCTTATGCCTGTGCTTAGTCGCCTCTCTCGGAATGCTGACGCTCATCCAAGTCGTCTCAGGTTTTCGCCTCGTTAGTGTATTGCAACCTACTCGAGACAAAACAAATTAACCGTCCTACTTACTACAACCTCATATCCTACAACTCCTTAGCATCTCGCTTTTATGGACTCCTACACAAAAAATCACAAACCTGGTAATCCTCTCCGCCCTATCATCTTCAATATAAATGCACCCCTCAACTAAACTCAGCAAATTCCTTCTACCCTCTCTCCAAAAACTTAGCCTCAATAATCCTCATTTTTTCAAAATCAAATGAATGGTTGAGGGTTAAGGCATGTTATGATAGTTTGGAGGCAGAAGGGTTCCGGGAAGTTATGGATGTTTTATGTTGGGAAATATGGGTTTTGAGGTGGTTTTTGGTTTCGCCAATATAGGAACTATTACAATTAGGTGTAGAGCAGGGTATCCGGTAAACTATATTAGATCGGTGTTGTAAAAGTGTGGGATTTTTCAGTTTGTTATGGGACTTAATTCCAAGATATAAGTTGGTTATAATCGATTTTAGTAATTTTTGTATATTATCTGAAAGAATAGGAACATAGGAAAGAGATTTGTATATGAAAGATAGGTGATTGTCGAGAGTTGATAGAAGGGGGGGGTTGTATAGCTGTTTAAAAGTTTAAGTATAGTTTTGAGAGGGAAATTATTGGAAAGGAGTATATTTTTGAGACGCTGAGTGTTGGTTTGGTGATATTGTGGATCAGATAAAGAGAGAGATTGGTGAATAAGGTTTTTGGCAGTATTCATTTTTTTGGTGGTATAGGTGTTGAGAATAAAAGTTAAGTAGTCTGCCTGATTTGATGGGTTTAGTATACCAGTCAGTAGAAATATAGCCATCAGTGTTTTTAATTATTGGGAGGTCTAAGAAGGGAAGTGAATTGTTAACTTCTTTCTCTATAGTGAAACAAAAACAGGGGTAGTAAGAGTTAAACGAGGAAAGGATTGGAAGAATGCTGTCAGGTTTAAGAACAAAAAGGAGATCATCGATATACTTTTTAATGAAAATGATGTCTTGATGGAAAGAAGGGATAATGGTGTCTAGAAGGTCATTAAGAACAATATTGGAAATATCCCGAGCTAAAGAATTTGAAATCTGGTTAAAGAATTTTCCTTGGAGGGTGAGGTATTCGGATCTGCTACAAAGCTCAAGGGATTCAAGGTATGAGGAGAAGTTGAGGGTGGTGTGAGGTTCGATGATTATCCAATTTCTTTATACAATGTGGAGGGCTTAATTTATTGGGATGTTGGTAAATAAGCTTTTGGCGTCTAGGAAAACAAGGATAAAATTGTCAGGAAAATGGAGAAAAGACACTCTTCTTGATGCTAAAATGAATTATTAATATCATAAGAATTATTGTGGCTTAGTTTTTGGAGAGAGGGTAGAAGGAATTTGCTAAGTTTAGTTTAGGGGGCATTTATATTGGAGATAATAGTGAGGAGGGGATTACCAGGTTTGTGATTTTTTGTGTAGGAGTCCATAAAAGCGAGATGCTAAGGAGTTGTAGGATATGAGGTTGTAGTAAGTAGGACGGTTAATTTGTTTTGTCTCGAGTAGGTTGCAATACACTAACGAGGCGAAAACCTGAGACGACTTGGATGAGCGTCAGCATTCCGAGAGAGGCGACTAAGCACAGGCATAAGACTGGCCCCTCATCAAATTATATGTAAAAATTATCATTCTCGATTAACCTACTAAAATTATTTGCTCCTTCAGGGACCTTAATTGGAAAACAAATAAAGGTAAATTAACAAAATAAGCAGTGACATCATTCACAGATATTCCTCCATCAAACTCTTCATCTTTTTTATAAAAAAAAATGGCTCCCGGTCATAGAGCATGTACCGGGCCCCCAATATTGTACAGTAATATTCCAGGTTTTGTTTTGCTTTTACTACTATTTTATTTTATTTACTTATTATTTTTTTGTTTTTCTTTTCTTTCTTCACATCCCTTCATGTCATTATTTCATATTATTTTTCCTTTTCTTCCAACCGCTCCTTGAAATCTGTAGGAATATATTCATAATTACGTATATTATAGGTTTTTAATGCGATGGTTAAATTTTAACATTAGTGAACGGGCCGGATCATGAGGGGAAGGTACGTTAGTTGATTGGTTTGAAAGTAGTTAGTTGTTGTACTTTGTATGAGTATTCGGTCTTGTCCATAATAACTATCGTATTTCCCTTATCAGCCTTAGTAATAATGAAGTGGTCGTTAGTTTTGAGGAAAGAGCGTGTTAAGGATAAATCTTTAAAAAACAGGGAGAAAAAAGGGAAAAATGGATTTATATTCATGATTTTTTTTTTCATATTATTTGGCAATATATATTATACATTGTAGGTCTCATCCTGTCCTACCCCCCTTGAGGACGGGTTGCCTTATATACGTCTAAAGGTCAGATTCCTGAAGACGAAGCACGTAGCCACACAGCTCACCCCACTCACTCTACTGAATTCACGGCCCACGGCTAAAGGAAAGAGATACATAGATAGATAGATAGATAGATAGATAGAGAGAGAGAGAGAGAGAGAGAGAGAGAGAGAGAGAGAGAGAGAGAGAGAGAGAGAGAGAGAGAGAGAGAGTTTGAGTGAGGGAGTGGGGGAGGGAGGAAGGGAGGGAGAGAGAGAGGGAGAGAGAGGGAGAGAGAGGGAGAGAGAGGGGGAGAGAGGGGGGGAGGGGAGAGGGAAAGGGAAAGGGAGAGGGAGGGAGAGAGAGAGTGAGTGAGTGAGAGAGAGAGAGAGAGAGAGAGAGAGAGAGAGAGAGAGAGAGAGAGAGAGAGAGAGAGAGAGAGAGAGAGAGAGAGAGAGAGAGAGAGAGAGAGAGAGAGAGAGAGAGAGAGAGAGAGAGAAGCACAGCCCTTCGGCAACATGTTACTGCCCTTTAGCCACACAATAATTAGACATCAATTGCAACACACTAAGGAGTTGTAGGATATGAGGTTGTAGTAAGTAGGACGGTTAATTTGTTTTGTCTCGAGTAGGTTGCAATACACTAACGAGGCGAAAACCTGAGACGACTTGGATGAGCGTCAGCATTCGGAGAGAGGCGACTAAGCACAGGCATAAGACTGGCCCTTCATCAAATTATATATAAAAATTATCATTCTTGAGTAACCTACTAAAATTATTTGCCCCTTCAGGGACCTTAATTGGAAAACAAATGAAGGTAAATTAACAAAATAAGCAGTGACGTCATTCACAGATATTCCTCCATCAAACTCTTCATTTTTTTTATTTCAAAAGAAAAGGGCTCCCAGTCATATAGCATGTACCGGGCCACCCAATATTGTACAGTAATATTCCAGGTTTTGTTTTGCTTTTACTACTTACCCCCTCACCACTCCCCAACCAGTTCAGCAAATTTGTCCAAGGAAGAAACTCTACCCAAGTTTCCCAGTTTTAAGTGAAACTCCTTGCTGAACCCACCTGCAAGTCTCTATTTTTATTCTTTTATTCTATTTATTTTATTTTATTTACTTATTATTTTTTCCTTTTTCTTTTCTTTCTTCACATCCCTTTATGTCATTAATTCATATTATTTTTCCTTTTCTTCCAACCTCTCCTTGAAATCTGTAGGAATATATTCATAATTGCATATATTATAGTATATATTATACTACAACAATTGTTATCATCTATTTACTTCAGATAGGATCTTGTTACTGAGCTTACTCTGTTTATATGGCTTATTGTTCTTAATGTTTCAATGTACTTACAGTTTAAAATTTTAATAAGTTTATTCACCTTGTTGTTGCTGCAAAGTCAGGTCGAATAATTGGCTTTTAATAAAATAGTTTTGCCACAATTTATACTATTTATGACAGCCAACCCGGACCATCTCCTTCCTCTATAATAATGGTCAACTATTGAGTATTCACTATAATCATTTTGTTACACAACTTGCTCAATCACAAATTTTTTCCTGATAAATCTCAACTTAATTAATATGGATTTAAAGCTTATCAAATGAAGAAGTTTTTGTAAAAGTGGAGTATCTGTATTGTATATAGTTGGATGATGATAACGAAAAATCGCAAATAATTTATGATTTTTCTAAAAAAAGAAATTGGCTTACTTTAGCCACTCAAAAGTCATCTTTAAATGGTTTTAACAATGATAAATTCTATTTTTGTTTAAAGTAAATTTTATCTAGTTTACAATGAAGCAATTATTAATTACTTAAATTTAATATCTCTTTAGTTATTGCTTTCAATTCAGCACAAAACTTGGATTTGCTACTCGTCTTCTTAAAATTGGCCCTTTGTTTATATGAACTTTATTGTAGCTCTTGAGGTTTGTTATCACTCATACAAAAATTTCCCTCTGCTTATGGAACAACTTGTATAGTGCCACTTGCATTATTTGCTATAAATTTTGATTGGCCGAACATTTTGTGCATTAAAAAACAAATTATACTACGCACTTATTATCTGATAAGATTGTTAAATGGTGCCACCATTTTGATATATTTTAGAACCGACAGGGATGACTTCACAGCAATAAAACATCACTTTCACTGAAGTAGAGGAAGGACCTAACTATTAAGCATGCCAATCATGGTGGTGGGGGAGGGGGGACCAGTGCCGAGTCTGGTGAGCAATTGTTCTTTAACTTTCTGGAAGACTTTCATATCAATAAATAAATTGGATAGATTCTCTCTATGAGGACATTCAGAAATATTTTTTTCTTAAATAAATAGATATAAACAATACCAATGGTAATTATTATTAGTATTTTATAATTAGTAATTCGTACTTTTAAACATCAATAACAGTAAAAAATGACTTTATTAAAATCTAATTGTACAATAAAGAATTGCTATAATTTAAAAAGAAAAATATTTCATAATATAATACCTCATCAGTTCTGACTGTAGTGTTGAAATGGTGTTCTGAAGCTTATTACATTCCTGTTGCGACTCAAAAAGTTTCTCATGAATTTTGTTATCATCAGTAATATTAACAGATTCAAGTTCAGCAGTTAATGCTATGATTTGGTCCATCATTTGTGCTTGTTCTTTTCGGCTTTGTTTAGCAGTTTGTTGGGCTTCTAAAAGTTGTCCTAGAAAATACTTAGATTTAAATAAAATGTTTAAAACACAGTCAAAATAACATGAATTCGATTAATATGAGAAATTGACTAAAAGGTTTGAACATAAATATACAATCTGTGATCTAGGAGAGTGCCATTGCTACTCGGCAAGTAGTTCATTACTTTTGTTCTCTTTTTTAATATATTTTAAGGGAAATGATTTTGTTTGAAATGTTTCATCTTTAATCACTACAATGTAGCAGACAGTTTAAGGCATAATGAATACATTTTGATTTGAACAATTAATTGAATAAATAAAATAAAAAACATTGCTATGATTAATGCATTGAGTTTTTCTCTGTCATCGTTATAAAAATTACATTAGGTTTACTTTTAAAGCTAGAAGAGAACTATTCAATCTCAATTACTAAACTTGAAAAAATAAGGACATAATTGACTTGGTCAATATAAAATGTTTTTGAAGATTAGGGTTTATTTGTTTTGTATTGAAACCTACAAAAGTACCAAAGTTAGGGCAAAAAGTGTGTACATCTGCAAAGTTATTTTTGGTTGATATTAGACAACAATAAAATGTTCAAGTCACTGATTTTATTGGAGGTATAAATGTGAGCTTGTGTATTATCAGTATTATGTCATAACATGGTTGGGATAAATTGGTTAAAAGATTCTCATGTTACTAAGAGAAAAAATATAGGGTACTGTATTGTATGGGTATTGTTATAGGTAACTAATGTTTCTTGAACTCCCAACTTCAATATCTCCTCAATATTAGACTAGCTTTGCAAAATTGGTTATATCATTAGAATGCTAATACAATTTTATCCTTTAATTTAAATCCATTAAAACTTCTTATTTCCAAGATCATAGCTCAAAAATTCATTGTGTAAGATCCTACGGAGTATTTCTGAAAATTATTAAGTTTAAATAGTTTACTTTGGTTGCTATGACAGCCTGATAAAGTGATATTTCCCCCAAAACTGGTTTCTATCTTATAGAAATTTTGTTTTAGATTCTGAAAATAAGGACTAAAAATAGAGAAAGTTTCAGATACTGATTTTATTATTTATGGGAATGAATAATGTTTTCTTTAAAAAAACTTTTAAAATCCATATCTTGACAACAGTTTGAGATGGGAATGTATGGTTGTTAGTAAAGAACTGCATTTTTGGTAGAATATCCCTCCTCCATTTCAGACCTTTCTCCCAGAGACATCATGAATATAAAATTATCTTACTATATTTTTTCATTCATAAATCATTATTTTATTTTAGTTATAATTATTTAGACATTCATATTTGGTTTATGATTAAAATCTCAACTGCCATATTGGATTCTAAACCCTCTTTAACTTTAATGCTACTAAATATCATCAATATTTGTATACTAGTAGTTATAGTTCTCATCACAACTATATTTCCAATTACATTAATTGTATTCGTGAGCTCCAACTACCTTGATTGTAATTAATAAATATTAATTGTGGAATGCCAACTAATAACTACACAAAGTAGTATTTGCAACAGCTTTTCAGTAATGAAGTTGTAGTTTTGTAATTTTCCATTAAACTACTTTATGCCCCACACTGCCTTAGGGATCAAGATGCAACAGTACACTTAACCAGCAATTAATAAAATTGAAGAGAATGATGGTTGGGGAGTGATCAGTAAAAAAAAAACATAGTAAAAATAAATAATAATGTTTATTTTTATTTTTGCCGATGTTTCGGTCCAAAGTTCAGGCCTTCATCAGGGTTAAGAAAAAAACAGATAACAATGGGTATGAGAAACTATAAACTTTGAAAAATAAAGAATTAAAATTAAAAATGTGAATGGTATAGAATAAAAAATGTAGCTAAAATAAACTTAAAGTAAAATAAAGTAGATAGAGTGAACGTTAAAGTAAAATAAAGGAGGTAGAATAATAAAAGTAACAGGACTAAGAAATAAATAATAATAGCAACAAAGTAGGGTCTAATGAAATAAACATAATCAAAAGTTTTTTTTTATTTATTTAATGAAATTTACAACTGTATAAACAATTCAACTAGTAAAAATGCACACATTAGAAATCATGACAGACTTGAAGAGATACTGCTCAGTGGTAGCACTCCCTATTTAATTCTAAGTGAGAAGATCACGAGGCCATCTTCTTTTCAGAAGCAAGACTGGAAACAAGTAGATTCGGATGGGACTGGAGTTTATCATAAAACGTTAGGTATCTGGCTCGGGCTAAATCAGCGGCATATGGGACATTAAGGTCTTTATGAATGGTTTTATTTGTGACAAAATAGGGGCATTAAGGATTTTACAAAGGATTTTGGATTGTAAGGATTGGATACGATAGGAATTCGATGGTTTGGTAGAGCCCCAATAATCAAAAGGTAACATAAGAAATGGAAAATGAATTAACAATGAAAAGTAGTGGTATGTATAAGATAATAAATGTAAGTGTAGACAAAAAAAAATAAAAGGGGTGAAATAGCTGCTAAAATATGATGTAACAGTATGCTAAAAAGAAGTGAGATAGAATAAAATGTAAAAAGAGAAAAGAAATATGAAGTTATATAAGGAAATAATAGATATAAATAGAAAATTGAGATATTGTAAAATCTATCAAAACATACTGACTACATATAAGAGAATAAAAAGTTAAAATATTGTAAAAAAAATAAATATGAAGTTATATTAGGAAATAATAGATAAAAATAGAAAATTGAGATATTGTAAAATCTATCAAAGCATACTGACTACAAATAAAAGAATAAAAAGTTGAAATAATGTAAAAAAATAAAAGAGCAAATGTATCAATATACACAAAATAGAGATGGAGATATGGAAAAGAGAGTGACAGGAAAAAAAAGAAAAAAAAAAAAAAGACGAGAAAACTAAGATGAGAAAGATAAAAAGACCTGGTCAAACGAAGAGGTGTCCCAAGACAAACATATTATGGTAAGAAAAATTGAGCTTACATAATACAATCTGTAACGGTTAACTGAAATACGTGAACTAAACCACAGAAACGTGTATAATGGATGAGAGGTTTATCATAGATAGATTCTATGAGATATTAAATGTTAAATAATAATGGAATATTAATAAAATAAATGCAAAAAGTGAGATTAAAGAAAACGAAAAAATAAAGAGGTAGTATAATGTAATATAGCATTAATTAAGGATAATATAGTATAATAATATAATATAGAATAAATTGAGGAGACAGTTTAATGCAGAGAATAAATATTAAGTAATAATGGAGTATAACTGATCTACGTGAAACATGAAATTAAAGAAAAACTAAAAATGAATTAAATTTAACGGAAATGAGAAAGTCTTTTATAAAGAAATTAAGGAGATAGTATAATGTAGAGGTAATAAACATTTAATAATAATAATGAACTATTACTGATCTATGTGAAACGCGTGGTTAAAGAAAACAAAAAATAATTAAAATTAAAGAAGTAGTATAATGTAATCAATATATATAAAATTGAATGTATGTCTGTTTGTCCTTTATGCATTAATAAACCATTCATCTGATCTCTATGAAACTTTGGGAAGTTGTTGCCAATTATATATGTAATTATGTATCTGTAAAAAAAATATTGCTATAGACTGTCACGCCAAAACAGCTGGAACGATTTTAACGAAACTTGGCTAGTCTTCTCCTTGAAATCCTTTTAATTTATGTCTATAACATACTTTCCCGAAAACAAGCAGCAAAAAATGAATTCAAAATCTTATTTGCCAATAACTAGAAAAGTACACAATTTTTGGTTGATAATACCCATATTTATTTGAGAGCTTTTTGAGTTCCCTACAAAATAAAAAAAAAATCATCGAAATTGGACAATTCTTTGCAGAGATATACAGTTTTAAACATTTACTACTGTTTCTTCGGAAGAGGCCACCTCCCTTTTTTTTGCTATTGATTATAATAATAATAAAAGGCTAAGTAAACCTGAAGGTTCGATGCCGACACCACCAATCGCTTATTACATACCTCCCTCCACCATTCGCCGTCCAAACCCAGTCCCTTCAGATCGGCTTTAATACAATCTTCCCACCTTCGCTTCGGTCTACCCCTCGGACGCTTACCATTTGGCACAGCAAATATTAACCTTTTAGGAATTCTCTCGTTACTAAGCCCAATAACTTTACAAGCCCATTTGATTCGCCGCGATGAAATTACCTCAATTATATTACCCGGATACAGTTCACGCAATTCGGCGTTGTGTAACCGTCTGAACTCTCCGGTTAACTCATCCTTCTTCGGTCCGAATATTCTACGCAATACTTTATTTTCAAAAACCTTAAGACGCTGCTCATCCCTTAATGTAAGCGGCCAAGTTTCGCATCCATAAAGAACTGTAGGTAAGATAATTGTTTTATAGATTCTAATTTTTAAGTTTCGGGACAAGAGGCGCGAACTAAGTAGTTTTGTCACAGAAAAATAACAAGCATTTCCCACCTTCAGTCTAACCTTAATCTCTTCTTCAATTTCGTTTTTTTAGTTATCGTAGAACCTAAATACCTAAATTTATCTACCTGTTCAAACATATTACCATCTATATCGATATCACCAGTAGTATCGCAATTTTCGCAGCTAACCATATATTTTGTTTTATCCACGTTTATTTAGAGCCCTAGTTCTTTACCGGCTTTCATTAACGTTGTCGTATTTAGTTTTATAGTTTCAACGTCTTCGCTTAACAGTACCAGATCATCAGCATAGCCCAGCACGGATGTTGTCCCGCCCAGATCCAACCCTTTCTCGGTTCGCATTACCTCCCTAATGGCATGTTCTAATGCCAAATTGAACAGGACAGGCGAAAGAGAATCCCCCTGTTTTAAGCCCGAACGAACCTCAATTTTTTCGGACAAATTATTACCGATTCTAACTTTATTGAGTGTCTCCGTCAAGCACATCCTGACTAGATTTACTAGTTTTTTTGGAATCCCCTGCTCGATTAGAATATTATACAGTTTCTGGCGGTCAATAGAATCGTAAGC